GTCATATCCTTGACTGCAAATGTGGGACTTCGATTTAATAAATGTACACTCCAATTTGTAGTTTCGGGCCAAAAATTCTTTGGGAGACCTGTCCTTGCCATCATACTTCGCACCATATTTAGGATAGTGCGATTCTTCCTCTCTGATACGCCATTTTGTTGTGGCGTGTATGCTACAGTAAGTTGTCTATGAATTCCATTTTCCTCACAAAACTTTGCAAAGTCATTAGAATTGAATTCTCCACCATGGTCTGTACGAAGACTTTTGATAAAGTATCCTGTCATCTTCTCTACCCTGGCCTTAAATCTTTGAAATGCAACAAGGGCTTCAGATTTTTCATGCAAAAAATAAACCCAAGTTTTGCGACTATAGTCATCAGTAAAAGTAATGAAGTACCTCTTGCCACTGTTTGAAGCTGGATTGATGGGTCCGCACAAATCTGAGTGAATTAGTTGCAGGACTTGTTCTGCTCTCCATGCTTGCGTGTTTGGGAAAGAATCACGATGTTGTTTACCCACTGTGCACTCTTCACATATTTGAGATGGACAATGAATTTGAGGAAGGCCTTTTACCATATTCTTCTGTTGAAGGGTCTTCAGACCGTTGAAATTCAAATGCCCATAGCGAAAATGCCACAACCAGGTAGTGTCTTGCACTCTTGTTGAGAAACAGCTTGGAACGCTCTTGTGTGTATACAATGGAAACATACGATTTTGCGTCATTTTGACTTCAGTAACTAAGCCTCTTGCTGGGTGTCGAACCTGACAGCAGCCTGCTTGAATAACGATTGTGTGCCCATTTTCTTGCAATTGTCCCATACTAATAAGATTGTTCTTCAGAGTTGGAACATAGAAGACATTAGCAATCTTATACACAGTATTCTCATCAATATGTACTTGAATATTTCCTTTGCCCATCACAGATATGCTTGAATTATCTCCTAGCTTCACATGCTCTCTAAAATCTTCATTTAAATCAGAGAATAGAGATTTGTTACCACTCATATGATTGCTACATCCAGAATCCAGGTACCAAATATCGGGTTTTGGGTTCTTCTCCTCAATGTAAGCCATCAAGAGTACTTCTTCTGATTCGGCATAATTTGATTGTTCTTCCTTTCGAGCAGATTCTGGGCATTCATATTTATAATGACCATATTTGTGGCAACGGTAGCATTCAACATTTGACTTGTCCCACGTTCCTTCATGTTCAGTTGTCTGGTTTTCATACCAACGTCCTCTCCCACGTCCGCGACCTCTTCCACGACCTCGGCCTCTTCCATGACTATTCCATGTGGATGAATTTCCACGACTGTTGTCATCACCTAGTGAGACCTTCAATAATTTCTCTTCAACAACCTGACTAATCATTCGTTGTTCATGAACGAGTAGAGAGCTCTGTAGTTCATCGATGGAAAGTTTAGTAACATCTTTGGATTCTTCAATTGAACATACAACATAAGGAAACTTGGAGGTCATTGAACGGAGGATTTTCTCGACAATGATTACGTCTTCCATTTGTTCTCCATTGATACGCATCTTGTTTGCAATTGTCAGCGCTCGTTCAAAATAGTCTGTAACAGACTCGCCTTCCTTCATGGTAAGAATCTCAAACTCTCTGCGGAGAGCTTGTAGCTGGGCTCGTTTCACACGAGCTGTCCCTTGATACTTCTGCTTCAAAGAATCCCAAATATCCTTTGCTGTATCCTTCTTGAGGATGGTCTCTAGAGTGACACGATCAATGGCTTGAAACAAGAAATTTTTGGCTTTCAAGTCTTTGAGCTTCTGAACTGCCAGCGCCTTTCTTTGTGCCTCAGTGAGAATAGTTTCTGCAGCAGGTTCAGTAATGCCATTCTCCACCAAACTCCAGTACTCTCTGGACCGCAAGAAATTTTCCATAAGCAAACTCCAGTGATCATAGTGTCCATCTAACCTTGGGATTGCTGGTTGTACAAAACTAGTGTTGTCACTCGCCATGGTGATCTTGCTGCTGCAAGATGCAAGCTGCTGCTTCTTTTCTACTCAGGCCCCAGTGGGGGCTCTGATACCAATTGTTGAAAACTAAAGCTTGAGTAATTGAAACAATAATTGGAAAAGTGCGTCTTATTTATCAAAGCTCTAAAGCTGGGCTTATATAGCCTTACAAAGAAACTGAAAGCAGAAACTTAAGCAGCAAACCAAACCCACGTCTAATATCTAGACTGATGGGATTCCCCTAGAAACTAGGATAACAAATAAACAAACACTACCTCACGTCCCTAACACCTAGGGACAACTAACTTGACCAATTCAACTAAAACATAAATACTTGAAAAATCCTAACAAAAAGAGGGGTTGCTTTGAACAATGTTGTTAAGTTTTTAATGAGTCTTATGAAGGACTTGAGAAATATGTTACCATGATGTTGAACTTATTCACTAATTTTCCCTTTTTATTTATTATGTTACATGCAAAAGGAGATTGATGAAATGTGTGGTGAATGAGCAGAATTTCTAGGGGGTTATACATAGACCTTCGAAGTGAGTTTTATGGGTAACTTAGAAGAATTCTTTTGTATTTTGGTTAAATTGATGACAAAAATTTAAGCATCTAGTTGAGCTTAAATTTTTGAAAATGAAAAAGTCTATTAATTGCAAATGACAATGATGATTTTGTAAAATCATCGTCTAAGTGGTTAACAGATAACGGTAAATCATCATCGTCCAAAGAGTCACAATAAACAGCGATCACCCATATAGCATATTAGACGAAGGTGGTCCATAGCCTTTTTTTTCTAGTGAATAGCATGTGGTGGGGTATTAAATCAGATATGATGCAGTGGCTAATGTATGATAATATAAGAATAGAGTAATAAACATGATGCATGGGGTGAAAATATCAAAAGATGCTTGAAGTATTGTCATATTAGTTTAGTAAATGCATTTGAAAGTTGTCAGATGGAAGCAGAAATAAAAGCCTCTCCGATCAAAGCTCCAGCTATTTTTCTCTTCTTTTCTTTGCAAGGGATTTGGATGAAGTAATATTCCAAGGTTTTCAAATAGCTAAGCTAGCATAACTTGGAAATGCAGGTTTATAAGGAACTATGAAAGCTTCTTGTGACTCTAATTATATTACATATTATCTAAGTTCCAATGTGAAAAGCAGTGATGTCTCCTTTTCTTCTGAAAAAAATAAAAACAAAAATAAAAAAATTCACAATATATAAAGAAATTAATTCATATTTGAAAATTTTGAGAATTAAAAATAATAATAAAAAGAGCATCATATCCTTTCAACAATTGGACCCACACGGCTTAAGGGACACTTTTTCTCCTGGTTTGGACTGTTGGAGCTTGGAGTGGAGGATGACTAGACAAGACAAGACAACAACGACACGCACTAGACCCCAATGCCGTTGATCTCTTTGTAAATCTAAGGCTCTTACCAGATTTCAAAATGTAAAGTAGAAGAAGAAAAGTAAGCTATTCAAAAGCATATTTCAAATACCGTATATAAAAAGTAAATTGGGAAAAATCATGGAATGTGACATTGGTGATAAAAGTTGTTTGTGGAACATTAGAAAGTTGTTAGTGCATCCACTGTTGGAGAATCTTGGTTGTGGACGCTCTCCTTTAATCACGAACAGTAGATTGAGGTGTATAAGTTACTGTTTTTAAGAATAGATCCGCCTCTTTGAGATAATATTTCGGAGTATTAGGTTATGACGTCCTACCCTCCAGGATACAACTTTTGATCATTATAAACCTACACTCGCAATACTTAGATCAGATGAACACTTGAATCTTTCCCTTGGGAAGTAAAATAAAATTAACACAATACAAGACTTTATGAAAATTGTGAGGAAATGAAATAATGTGGCAGGACAGAAATTAAGAGAAAAAAATGCTCGAATTAAATCATATGTTCAGCCAAAATAGCCAAAGCTATATATAGAAATTGCTGACCCCAAAGAGACGTTGGTCATTAAAGATAAAATTTTGCCGTTTGATGAATAATGGTGGCACGGTTTAGAAATTGAATACTGATACCAATAGACCAATTAAATATAGGGAGTTTCACTAAAACACCCAAAATGGGGGTTGAAATTATAAAAAAACCCAAGCACTATTTAAACATATAAACACACCCAAAACCCATCATTACACACACTCAAAACTCATTTATAAACACACTCAAAAAGTTGACTTTGGGGTTGATTTTGGGTGTGTTTCTATGTTTAAATAGTGCTTGGGTTTTTTTATAAATACATGTCTAGGATTGGGTTTATTTATAAATTTGTATTAAATATATATAAACACAAATGGTTATGTAATCAAGATCTTCAACAAATCAAAGTGATCATATAAGCAAAAGCTTTCCCTGTAGGAATCAAATAAATTGAAGGCAAAGTGTATGTTAAAACCAAAGTCGGCCAACATAATTTAATGCCCAGAATAAACAAACAAGAAAATGATATTTGAGTGTCTACAGTATTTTTCACAATTAAACGTTATTAGCAATTAGAATAAAGATTCAAATTGAAGAAAGCAATTAAATCAAATCAACTAACGTTGAAACATTAAAGTTGATTTTGAATTCCAAAATATTTGGTGTTGAAACATATTTTGAAATACTCATTAAGATAAAAAAAAACATCATCCACAATGGTTTGTCCCTGAATTTGATTTTTCTTCAATGTTCATATGCCAATTGCACTGAGGCGAGTGATTTGTTTTTAAATGGTAACATGCCTGTTTTTTTTACGGGAATGTACCTAATCATTTGTTGAATGCGGCAGGGTAGTACCACTTTTAGCATATGAAAATATGTGAATTGTACTTTGTTGGTACATAATTTATTTGCAGCTTGCTTCCTCCATTGTGTTTATACATTTACCTGTCGCTTGGGCATAACAGTTTTCTAAGTTATAAAAACACTCTTCAGTGGGTTTTGGAGAAAACATCTACTAGGTACTTCGAAAAGAATGTATTAACTAACAAGATTAAGGGTTCAATTTGTACATCAATATAAATAACCTCATATATATATATACCTCAAACGCTTGTCAACTGCACAACACCTATGAAACACGTATGGCAAACTGCCACCTCTCTCTGCCTCCGTTGGGTCCCCTATAATTAACAGTAAGGCAAGACAATTTCCCCCCGTTTCCTATCTATCCATCTCTTGTACTCTTCTGTATTAACAAATAAATTATCCCTTCAGAGCCCATTACAACAAAGTTATAGTTTCGGAGCAGATCCGATCGCATTGTGCGGTCACAATGGCATTCGCACTTATCTGCACAAGCCGAGAGAGGGCGAGAACCCCTGAAAGTGGAGGAGCCAATTGAGAAGAACATAAGTTGGATGAGTTGTGTTACGTGCTTTTATCAAGAGCAACATCAGCAGGATCTCCGATCCATGGCCTCCCTTCTCTCCACCGGAATTTAATTCTTAACTTCCCATTTGCATCCACCCCCACTACCTGTCCTTTGCTTGCATGAGTCTCCATTCCCCAGCCCCACCGTGGGCTCACCAGCCCTTCTCTAATTCTCACTTTGTCCCCCATTTTAAATGGCCTAACCCGTTCTATTTCCGATGCCTTGCAAAGCCACAACCTCTCTGTGAAGCAAAATGCAACCCAGAGCTCCTCATTTTCCATGCGGTGCACCACCCCAACGCTCGAACGACTCACCTCTCCCCACTGGTGGGTTGGAGTTGAAACTGATGCCTTAACCCTAACCCAATCTCCAATGTGAAGCTCCTCTTCCTCGACAAGCTCCACTTCCGATGGATCCAACATCCAAGCTTTTGAACCAGCTGGGGTGTATATTCTCAGCTTGCCATCAGCATCAATTGTGGATATAGTTCCAAGACTTGCATGGCTGTGGCCTGACCACCCAAATCTTGGCTGCTTGACAGATAGTTTAACCCTAACCTTCTGGCCAACCATGAGCCTGTTCACCCTAGCAAGATCAGAGGTAGGCCCAACCCATTTTTCTTGCTCGCCGCAAAATCCAACAAAAGTCGTTCCATCCCATTTATCGCCATCATATCCCAATCCTTGCACCACTCCGACACTGCCCGGCCCAATGGATTTCCAAATACTTGCATGATCTTTTAATTTCACCCACTCCCCAACTTCAAAAATCTGCTCTATTTCAAGATCCGCAGGATCTCCTCTCCACAACCCTGGCAAACCAGAGAAAGCCACTCTGACTTCCCCATCAGCATGAACGCTAGTTATGATGCCACGTGAATCAGGTTGAGCCCCTCTCCAGCCCCATCTTGGTTCAACTAGTCCAGTCCGGAACCGAACATACTGCCCTATTTTTAAGCATGGAACCTTTTCAACATCTGTGTAATGAGTTATCCACCTGCCTTTACGAAAACAACAAGCTAACTCCAGATAACCTGTATCTTGTACACTATGCACAACAGCTAAACTTTCCTTTCCAATGCTGTTCCAATCATAACTTGGTCGAGTTCCCAGGCTTGGTTTAGAACGTACCCAGTCACCAACTTCAAATCCAGAGAGTCGTTCCGCATCTCCAGGAGAAACTTTCCACAAGCTCTGTCGACCAGGCACTTTTACCTGCATCAAATAACCAAAACCTCTTCTCATGTACAGTGATATTTAACGAGGACAAAGGTCCTCTTGACATTGTTGTTAGATTGTGCGCATGTGCACACACACACAAGTACTAAGCTTATATAGTTGCAGAAGTTGTCATCCACCAGCAGAAAATAACAAATGGTTCTACAACTTATTTTGCTGATAAATAAAGTGCTGATCTCTTTAAGCATATTTGTCATTTATTTCTTGTTTTCTGCTTCTTTAGTTAAGGACAGAAAGGCAGAGACCGGTGAGGAAGACATGAGAGAAAAGATGTATCATAAAACTAAATCCCTCATCTCTCTCATCTCCCTCTCCTCCTCTCTCTTTAATTTTATTTTTTAAGAAAAAATTCATTTGTCGAATGTGCCCGAAGCAAATGAAACTTCAATGACAGTAACAGCCCGCTTATTTAAAATTGTCCCCAGCCAGCACATTAATTTGTACATCAATCTGATATGTTATATGTAATGATATGCGATGAATCTGATATCATAACAATTGAAATGAAGAGGAGTGCAAGGGAACGACTCATGCAAGATGTATGTGTGAGATGAGATTTCTTACATTCAAAGCTCCATCCATGTCAATTCTAACTATTTTTCCAACAGTTGCTGCACTTTCATTTGACCATCCAAGTCGTGGCTGAGTAATAGATGACATCACATGAATCTCTTGCCCTAATTCAAAAGGGGGCACCTTCTCCACATCTGTGACAGAACAAGAAAAAGGCTTGCTCCTGAAGCAGAAGGCGACACCCATATCACCATCTTCCTCCAAGCTATGAATTATCCCAACACTGTTCCTTGTAATATCCTCCCATCCGTATTTGGGAGAGGGCACTGAAGCTTTAACTCTAACCCAATCCCCTACCTGCCCATGGTGGAAATACCAACATGCAGATACAAAGCAGCATATTAAAAAAACTACCCTGTTTTTTTTAAGATATAATAAGAGTAAACAATTAGATATTACCTTGAAGTCTTCCACCTTCTCCATGTCAGAAGGATCGGCCTGCCATGGTATTGGTCGATTAGGAATTTCAATTACCAGGAGGCCATCATTCTCTATCTCACTTATTCTTCCAACACTATGGTGTGTCTCACCACCCCATGCATACCTAGGTTCTGCAACAGATCGCTTCACGCATACCCTGTCACCAATCTTCAAAGTCAACAATGTATTAGTTTTTGAAAAGAATACATAAAAAACATTAAGGGATATAATAAAATTATCAATTATCACTTTACAACATATCTCACTCACCCTGAATGGGATTACAGGTTCAACCTCCTCTGGTTCACAATGCCATGGACTTGGAAGATAGCTCAGTTCTAGCAATAGACTACTATCAGGTCTTATACAATACACAATACCAATGCTCCCAGGTGTAACAGATCCCAGTCCATGCTTTGCTGTTGTAAGAGTAGGACGAATACGAACCCAGTCCCCAACCTTGAATTCTTCAACTCTTTCCATCTCCGCAGGATCAGCTTTCCATCCTCTGGAGGCTCCAGGAAACCCAACGCGTAGGATACCATCATCATCAACACACAATACAGTACCAATGCTATCACGTGACTGCCCACGCCACCCAAACCTGATAACAAAGCAAGGTCAGTAATTAAATTTACTACAATCCATTTTGAATAAGGATTACATGCAAGCAGATACCAGAAGATGCATATCTAAAGCTGACAATAGAAAGGAATTAAATATGGCAAACGCAAAAGAGAGAGATCCAATGCATGCATGTGAAGTTTAATTGTTGATTAACAGAAAAATCGCCAAACTATTCTACTTTTGTCTCTATCACTACATCTGCTTTTATCTAAACCTTTACGGCTGTTTACCTAGTAGTACAGGATTCTGCATTTATGAGCAAACCATTTTATTTCTATAGTTCACACAGATTGTCTACCACGTTGCTGACAAAATATTATTAGGAACAAATATATCATATTTATTCTTGGTCCTTATATAATGTTTTTATCTTTTACTTTAATGCCCCAAAACCTTTATGTTTAGTTGGATGTTTCTCCACTGTTGTTTTGTATCTTCTTGTATTTAACCCTTGTGCTATTCATGTTTAACCAATTTTATTTCAAAATTACTTCATATTATGAGGATAAATTATGGGCTAATGAGTAGTCCTTTAGCCCAAAATATAAAAATAAATACATTAATGTCACTTTCATTTTAAATGCTTGAGATGAGATACAGTTATGTAACAATTAAAGCTTGACCAAAAAAAAAATTAAAGCTTGGAATAAGATGCCACCACTTTGGATAAATATAGAAACTGTTCAGAATTAAACCTGGGCTCTTTGACATCTGGTTTCAGCTGGACATGCTGTCCCCTGTCTAAAGGAATAACTTTTACAACTTCATTTGCCAAAACACGAACCTCTCCGGAACAAAATGATACTAACAAATGGTCCTTATCTGGGGCACCTTGCACAAACCCAACACTTCTATGTTTTGCACCTTGCCAGCCATATGTAGGAGTTGTTATACTTCTTTTAAATTTCACCCAGTCTCCCACATCAAATCTAAACCATAGAGAAAACAAGAATTATGAAATCTACTAGTCGCAAGGAAGCATTATTAGACATGCTATCAGAACAACACAATGATATCATCTCTTCTCACATTGTAGGAGACAGAAAAACTCCCCGATTTACAAGTGCCTCCATCAGATCTTCAGATATCCATTCCCGGGGAAGGGCCTCCAAAAAGTCACGTAATGTCTTGCCGCTGTCATCAAAGTCAAAATTTTAAATTGTTTAATATATTAGATAGCTTACCCTGTGCCTTGGCACCTTTATGGAGTTCCCAATCAGTTTCCTAATAGATTAAATGCAAAATTTCAAAGGCCTGATAGTCATTAATAACTTGTTCACAACTTGGTAGTCATCATTTTTGTTTCTTATAAACAATTAGATGTACAAGTTCAAACACACTTAATAGTATATAAATTTATAAGAAGAGAATCTCTTGCAAATGACGGTAAAGCCACAAAAAAGAGCAATGCCTTAATTGGCACTTACCTGTGATTTCTGGCTTCAACAGAAGCATCAGGATTTCTAAGCATAACAATAAGCCATTCAAGATTTTCACGTATCATTTTTGCTGCATCTGCTGCTATATGGAAAGCATTGTCACCTTCATCATCCTGATAACAATGAGCAAAATACATAATGCTGATGATGACTCAAAGAGAAATCTGGTTTAAGTAGCAAAAATAAGGACAAAGTCATTACGCATCATCAAGATATAAAAGCTGTCTTTGTAGGTGTGTGCGCACTCCGTTCCAACAAGGGCCTAACCTAGAGGACTTTCATATCAATTGTTTGATAAGATATGGCTAAAATCTTCTTAGCGGCTAATAATGAGAGACATCTTCAACCATATCTGCTTAACAGTTAATATGCAAATCCTAATTGGGTCCTCACTAGATTGCCACCACATGTGCACATATAAAATTGTATTTTTCTCATATTACAGTTCTATATCAACAAGAAATGATTAGATACCATCAGAACATATAACTGATGCAACAAAGGAAGTTCAATAAATTGAAGAGAAACCTGTAAATTATAATTTGCTCCAGAAGATAGAAGCAGTCCGACACATGACTTCGCCCCTCTGGCCAATGCTACATGAAGAGGAATTGTATTTTGTACATTCCGAATGTTCACATCAACTCCAGCATCAAGTATAATCTAGCAATGAATTTTCCAAGGTGTTAATACATCAATAATGCAGAGAGGATGAGTGACCAAAAATCAAGAAATGCGTTTTAGATTCTGTTGTCATGTAATTGAAAGCTATCTTGACTACCTTGACCAACTCAACGTCATTGGCCATTGAAGCTGTATGCAAAGCTGTCCGTCCATGCTGGGCATCTTGAGCAGTTGGATCTGCTCCAGAAGCAAGCAAAATATGCACCATTTCTCTTCCTTCTACAAGCAGCATCAAGTAAAAATACTAATACTAATCATAAGATAAATTACTTCTTACTTTAAGTGGAACACTGGAAAACAGAACAAATCAATTTTACCCTACCAGCTAAGTAGGCACGTAAAACAGAAAAAATCAACAAGAACTACAAAGTGCAAGAAATCAATTTTACCCTACCAGCTATGCAAATCCTGATGGTTACGGAAGATGTCAGAGGTCTCAGATTAAAAGTAAATGACAAAAAAATTTATGTGAAAATCATATGATTGTGTTAGATTTTATCATTCTACAAATATTTTTTACCAAAAAGGGGGCAAAGGAAATCGAGAAACAAATGACATGGGAAAGAAAGGAATACAAAAGAAAAGAGTAGAGAGAGATTTTAACATCACACATATTTTCTGACAATATTTGGGATTTAAGGTTTAAGTGCCCACCCCACATGTCAGCATGGCCGGAAACAGCTTAAAAACAGGGACAAGAAATAGTTTAGAAGTTCTGTGTCTATTGTTGCATTAGCTTGAAGTCTTGATCATTTGTTTGACAATGCAACTCTATAGCTCTGGAGCTTGTAAATATTCATCAATAAAACAAGCACGAATATCTACTCTGTAACGTACAAATATAAATATGCAGAAGCATGCACATAGGAAAGACTTCAAATTTGCATTTTTAGACAAGATTTTCTAGTACAACACAAATTGAGCTCAATAAAGACTTGTTGTAACTTGCAAGTATAGCAACACTAACCTCCAAACACCAAATAACAATGATTAAGAGCTCAAAATCAACACATAACCCAATTAATTAACAAAACTGATGGTTTATGGAAAACGAAGGAGGTCTCAGGATAAAATCCCAAAAGTAATCAATATGTAATAAAAGTGCCTCTAAACCTGGTTGAAAACAAAGAATCACTAAACAAATAAAAGTTTCGGATCAATTAACAAGACATTTTAAGGATCTAGGATTACCAATTTCATGATCTTTCTTTAGAGCAGCTGCCATGCACAACGCGGTGCCAACTGAACTTGGTATATCAATTGCATCGGCAATCTCTTCTGGTGTTGCAACTTCCACCCACCTTCTAACAACAGCAACATTCCATGTTGCCACACACAAGTGCAATGGTCTATGATACGATAAGAATTTAACAGGGCAATCAGACATTGAGGTCAAAATCTTTATGTAGTTTCAATCAAATACCCACTACTTGCAAGTGCAAAACCATGCGACTACTTTTAACAATTTTAAAAGATAAAAGCAAATGCTTTTGGGCTATAAACAATCAAACTACAGAAATATATATATATATATATATTATGCTTAACTAAAAAGGTGACAATTGTCAGGTCTACTACTAAGCATGTCCTCTGAATCACAAGCTCAGGAATGATGGGCCAGTGACTCCAACAGACTCAATCAGTATATTTCACCAACAATATTGCACCTTTTAAATACATTTAAACAATCTGACACATCACCAGACTTGTAAATCCAAGTAAACCCTGCCTTTTACGGAAAGCGTATGTAATAAGTTAGGTATTTTTATAAGAAATTATATGAAATTATATGATTCGTTGATTAGCCTGAGATCCCAAGTCAAACCTTTTCTCAATCAAAAGTACAAACGTTTTCTTTTTCCTTCGGATTAGTTCAGGACTTGTCTGCCTACTTTTAAGGGCTGACTTTACTCTTCTTTTCTTTTATTTTTTCAAATGTTGCTAATGCCGCTGTGTTTATCTTTTCTTTTTTTTGTTGAAAAGAAATGCCACTGTGTTTATCAAAGTACTCAATATAAACTACAATGTTTAATCGAATTATAAAAACAATAACTTCATGTCTGTTTTACATAAAACTTGTATATTTTCAAAATATTTGTCAAAATCTATCAAACAAGACTCAGGATGAATATAAAATTATGTATGAAGATAGAGACAGTAATGTATATGTCTTATCAAGATGAATAATGTTACACTTTATAACCTATTATATATCTATGAGACTGATGCATTATCATGATGTGAAAAAAAAAAAATTAATTAGATCGTGTCAAGGACTTGATAATGTGTTTGTGAGACATATTCATTATCATGATATCGAAAGTGAATTATGTTTCATTCTGTAAGAGGCAGATACATTAATCTTTTCTTCTACATAATTTTATTATCATGGGTATTGTGGATAATGTAATATATATGGATGTTTGACTTTTCTACTTGGATTAAATTATTGGACATGAGCTAACAAAAACATCTTTCAGGGTACCGCATCTACAAATCTTGTGAATATGATCTGTTTTAAAAAGATCAAAATAACACATTCAGATTCTTATTGAATGCTGCCCAACATGATATGTTAAAAGAGCTGACATGGGTCTAACCAGTAAACAAGATTAACATAACTACACAATGTGATAGTCATATGTAAGACTCTGACAAGTTAATTCTACAACATATTAAAGTCATAATATCATGGATCTTAGTTTGGAAGACATGAACGGAGTTAAAGCTGGAAATGCCCATTGGTAACTACGCTTTATGCCCAGATGAAGGGGTTAAGATTTGGCTGACTGCATTCTAAGACTTGAATATCTTAACTACTGTTCGTATAAATATATTTGCATTCAATTTGTATACTTCACATTCAAAGAAACTAGAATTCTGTATCTCAAAACGCATTCAATTCTACACAAGGTGCCTAAATGAGTCAATGACTTTTTATTCAGACCTGATTGTGGCTCAGTGGATTGTGTCCATTAAAAAAACATCCACAAATATTTGATATTGCACCACACATCATCGATGAATTTCATTACCAGAGAGGTAAAAATATGCACATTACTCTTATAGTAAAAAAAAAATTAAAGAAAATGAAAATCAATTTCGTACTTACGTATATTTTTCTGAATTTAAAACGGACATTGACCTAGAGCCCCCATTTTCCAAAACGACAAGTGCACAATCTGTATATTTCTTGGCAACAGCTCTATGTAGTACAGATTCACCTTCCTCATCCACTGCATTAGGATCTGCCCCAGCCATTAGTAACTCCTGAAATAATGCAAAATATATGTTAAGAGCACACCTTTCAAAAACCTTATGAAGCAAAAATGAAATATCATTAAACATGATCTTTCATTATCCATGTAACTGAGACCTACACGCATACAATCAGGCTGGCCATGATAGGCACAGACATGAGCAACAGACGGGCCAAAGCCTTCCCGCAACCTAGATCTCACATTAGCGCCTCTGTTAATGAGAGCACGAACGCATTCTGGGGATCCAGCAACTAAAGCAAAAACAAGTGGAGGATCCCCATCTTTGTCCAAGACATCCACATTTGCCTCTCGATGCTCCAAAATGGCATCAACAAGTTCTGCACTACCACGTCTACAGGCCAAATGGAGAGCAGTTTGGCCATCAGCATTTTGAGCTTCTAATAAAGACAATACTGCGCTGTTATCACTTTCTGCTGCAGCCTTTTCAAGCAGATCTCTGTATAACCAAAGAGTGTGGCATAAGGAGAATAAGACAATAGTTCTGGGTTTAAAAACAAATAGCCCAAATAATTAGGGAATGAAGTGCACTAACCTAACACCGTGTACATCCCCTTCGGACACAAGTCTATGCAGAAGGGTGGGGTTAGCCTGAAAAACTTCTGAATGGGATACAGGAGATGGTTCCGTCACATTTGATCCAGAGCATTTAGCTAAACCACTGTGTTCAAAAACTCAAGATGTCACTCAATCTAACGTAATTAGCAAATTATAAATTTCAATATATTGATCTTGCTCTCTCTGTGGTTTGGGCCCCCATGCATTGAGAGAAACCCAGCATCACTGACTTAGTTTCTATATATATGTTCTTCATTCTGCCCTTGGGAAATAGTCAGATATCCTGAGTTATTGAAAAAATATATATCTATATAATATTTGTTTTTCATCCAACAGCATCAGCAAGGATTAAGTCAAGATGCCACTAATAAAATACCAGAAAATTCAAGAGTATAAACAGTACTTTGAATTCTTACTTATCAGGACTTGCAGGAGGGCTCCGTGGTATCTCCTGCAAATGACGGAGAAATGTTGCTAACATTGAACTAAAAGACGGTCTTTTTGATGCCTTGAACTGCAGGCACTCACCAATCATTTTCCACAATTCCCTAGGTATTCCAACACCTACTACACTTGCATATTGTGGAGGCAGTTTCCGAGCCTTGATTACAGCCCGATAAATTTCCTCTGTGCTTAAACCAGCCCATCTGCACAACGAATTTCAACTTGTACTAAAAATCATTCAATAAAGGGAAAAAGAATGAGAATTTTCAAATATACAGTATGTTGCTCCACGTACGGAATGGAACCAGTGCACATTTCTACCAATGTACAACCAAAACTCCATGCATCTGACTCTGCAGAAATACCAATAGCATCCTCCCAAAATGGATTCAATAATTTCTTCACTGGCTCCCATGCCTCTGGGGCTGCATAGTGGGGGCTGAGCATCGTACATTCCATACAAGAATGGATCCTTGAGGTATCACACTCCAGTCGAGCTTTCCGGCAGGAAGGTTTCTTCAGAATTGCAGCAACTCCATAATCAGAAACCACCGCGTGACCACTTGAATCCAAAAGAAGATTGGACGGTTTCAGATTCATACAAACAACTCCTGCCGCATGGAGTTCAGCCACTCCTCGTGCAATGTCAGCCCCATATCTACAAATGGGAAGCACTCAAAACGTCAAGACAAGAGTTAATGCCAGTTAATAGTTACTAAAATAAGATATTTGGTAACACACTGGTGAACTTGGATTTGTAAACCTCTAACTCAATTAGAACTTTAACCCTCAAACCAAATGAACTCAACATGTATAAAATGGAAGTATAAACAAATACGTGACTATAATAATTTATATTTCTCTACTTTCAAGATTTTGCAGATAAAAACAGGAGATGTACCAAGCAAATCCGACCTCTATTTGGCAGCTAGTTATACCGAAAACCCAATAGATGTTTTGTACTTTTCAGTGAAAACACAATTCTTCAACATTTATTCTCCAAATCTAAAATTCAGCATCCAGATGCATTTGGAAAATCAGAATGATATTCAAGATTAGTCTTATTTTGTGGTTAGGTACCATATATCCCTCTCGTGCGTCCTAAATACGGAATTAAAGCAAGCTTCACTCTGTACGCAAAAGAAATGCATTTCTACACACTGGATTAACCAGTTCTTATGTTGATTGTTGACAGCTGTTGAAGGGGAAAATAACATATAAGATCATTTTATTAAAAAGTCTACTACCAATAAATAAATAAATAAATCCAGCTTATAGTTACAACTGTAAAGCTACTACAAGCTCAAAAATTTAAGTCTCACATGGTTAAATCTGACTACTATAAATTTCAATGGATTTAAAGAAAGTACATGACTACTGAATTAAAGGTTTCTGAATAAGCTTGATTTCCATGTTGGGGACAATTGTTGTTATGCCACATCCAACCAAGAATCCCAACTGTTTGCATTCATACCTGTTCCATAGTGTCCATCCATTACTATTATTAACTAAAAAACATCTACCCTTGTGAGCATATTAACATTCTTATAAAGTTTCCAGTTCCACATTTCACGGTCCAAAAATGGAAGGAATATATTGGAATGGGCAAAGTAAGTTTGGCTAAGTCAGAAAGGACAAATTTGTCTTCCTTGAAAGCTTTCAGTGAGAACAACATTTCAGGGAACGGAAGGCATCACAATTTGGTGGCTGCAATATAACTTGTATCCTAACTCATTTTTGTATTCAGGAAGGGAAGACAAAGAACATATGAAATTTGGAGAAACATGACAAAAGAAGAAGAAAAGTTTTAGATATTGCACGATACTACTAACCCAATGTAACTCAGCTCCCCATGACAATGCACGTGAAGTACCCAGCATAAAGAGCATTATTGCAGAAGACTTTACCACACCTCTTTCACGTAAGACACAAACACTTCAAATAAGTTTTATATTTGAACTGTCAAACAATATGACCAAATGCAGTATCGGTATGAATCATAAAACCCATAACTTGATCCATAAAAACAATTTGATTGTCATTTGATTATTCAGAATCATTAACCATTCCATACCCACTATATAGAGATCAACAAGAATTGCCTAAATTACCTTTTTGAACTGAACTATCCAGAACCACCACACAAACCAAGAAAATAATCAGAGCATACGAACATTATAATATACAAAACCTTTTTCAAACAAAAAATAAAAAGCAAATGAAAACTTCAAAACCTTAGGATTTGCTCCAAAGTAAGCCTGCCCTCATTGCGCTGCATCTCGGACTGAACAGACCCATAACACCTATCCATAACAAGACACAAAGTGCCTTCACTCTTCATAGCCCCATGAAATGTGCACACATTCCTACACCACATCGATGCCCGCCGCAAATTCTCCAGCTGCCCCATCACCCAATCCATACTCGTCTCCTCCGCCACTGCCACCTTCTTCACCGCTACCTTGTGGCGGCACCGCCCGCCTCCGCCGCCAATCACTGCAGTCCACATTTGGACCCCGGCCTGCCTCCCCTCCCCTATCCGCCGCACCAATCTCAAGTCTTGGTGCACTGCCAGCTCCATCACCGGCCCGCACCCGCCCGAGCTTGAGGTGTGGGACCCACGGCTACATCGCCGGTCCCCATCGTCCTCCTCATCATCATCCCCATCCTCGTCGTCCGTGTAGTCGCAATCGAAATTGGCGGCGGAGGCAGACGAGACGGCATTGGAACTCGAGTGAATCAGAGCGAGCACGGCGAAGTTCTTGCGGAGGGCCTGAACGGAGTTGCCGACGACGGACACGTGGCGGCACCTGGGGCAGACGAGGGTGGTATCGGTACAAGAAGAGAACATCCGAGACAAGCAGTCCTTGCAGAAGCCATGGCCGCACTGAAGCAAAAGCGGGACTCTTTCTTCCTCGTCGTAGCGCGTCTGGCAGACGGAGCAGCACGGCACTTTCATCTTCCCGATTTGGCTTCTTCCACTTTCTGAGCTGAATCGATTGAAATTGGGTTTTGGGTTTCGGGTTTCAGAGCTTTTGGGGAGCTCAGAAGCTCATGCTGGAAGTGGAGAAAGTAGATCCATAAATGAATTGGGCAGAGAAATGAAGATTTGAAACCAATGAATGATCAGTTGGGCTAACCAGGAAAGAAATCTACACAAGCAAAGAAAAAAGGGTTTTAGTCTCTTAGAGAGAGAAAGTAGAGAGAGAGAGAAATAGAGAGAGAGGAGTTTGTGCCTTGTCTTCTAACTTGCAACTTCTGAGGGTTTTTTTGTATTTTTGATTTCTTTTTTGTTTTTTCTTTGTAAATAATTTTGTTTCGCTTTCTACAAGGACTAAAAAGGAGAGTGGAAGGTTGGCTGGGTCGGCTACTTTTCACAGAGTCCTCAAACCCGCTTCTTCCGCCACAAAATAATACTTTGTTTTCTTTCGTTTTTCTTCTTTGTGGGTTATATAGGAGGGGTAGAAATGGAATATAGAGCAAAATGGTGGAGGAATGGTGTTATATTTGGCAATGATAGAGGGGATGGTTTTCAATCCAAAACCGTTCATATGGATAGGAAAAGAGGTGTGAAAGATCCTTTGAGGGTTGGGTCCTCGGTAATGTGAATGCAATCCAATAGTTGTGTGTGACGATATATTGTGAATCTTAAAGAGAATGGTGAATCCATCAATATATAAATCAAAGTCTTGTCTGCATTTTAATTCGCACTATAAAAAAATTCTTTATAGTCTAATGCATTTCTTTTTCTTTTTTCTTTCAAGATTCAGTTGAAGAGTTGGAAAGTATTTTAATGTTCTAAAATAAGATATTCATCATTGTAATTTTTTTTTTATGTGAGAAAGGAAATTAGAAAAGACGCGACCCTCTAGGGCACGCAAGCCCAAATAAATCCAAATAAAAAGAAGAAACAAAAAAAAAAGTGAAAACACTCTCCCACAACTTTGAAGGCGAGAGAGAATGACCAAGGGAAGCAAGAGCATCTGCAACCGCATTGGCTTCTCGAAAGACATGAGAGAAGGAGACTTGATCACAGAATGTTCTGAGATGTAGAATATCTTGAACAAGTTGGTTAATGCACCAGGGAGTCGAGCATCGCTTCAAAACTGAGTCAATGACAAGTTTAGAATCCCCTTCAACTAAGAGCTTGGACCATCCCTTCGAAACAGCATAAGCCAAGTCATCTCTAAGCGTTAAACATTCCGCCACAATAATAGAATTGCGACCAATCTTCTTAGCACCAGCCAAAACAACATGTGCCTTATCATCTCTAATAACAAAGCGAATTGCAGCATGGTTGCATCTCATGGAGCCATCAAATTTTATTTTGTACCAACCAAGAGGAGGAGGAAGCCATTTGATAGGTGCAATACTTGGTCCAATTATTGGTTTGTGATTGGTCCGCCAATAATAATCCAAATGAATGGTACCAGCAACATTGAGGACTCGTGCAAGATGAGGACGCATGTCTCAAAAATATTAGGTTGTTCCGAGCCTACCAAACTTGCCAACGTATGCATAAAGCTTTGCAAAAATCATTAGGTTCCCAAAAATTAGCATTACAAGTAAGGGAATGGAACCACTCAATAAAATCATAATGATGGGCTGCAAGATGAGGAAAATGGGAAACACAATTCCAAACTGCAATAGCAAAAGGGCACTAAGAAAGAAGATGTTGTATGTTTTTTGGATGTGTGTTACACAAAGCATGCTCATGGTTCAAGGCAGGATTGAATCTATGCAATATAGAACGAACTGGCAACCTGAAGGGAAAATTATGTGTTGGGTATTTCTCAAAACTCATTATGTATAGGAAAATGATTTATCTAGCATTAACATATCTCATATTAAATTAGCGAAAGCAAAATCAAAAACTAGAAACTCATGTGAGTCCTATTAGTCCCAATCTTTTTAGGTTTATCAAAAATTGCACTTTTGACTCTTTAATATAGTTTTAAAGAAAAGGATGAAGAATGGTTACCCTTGGAGCGAATCTTAAACCCTATTAAGGTGTTCAAGTAATGGACTTGATCTCTTGCTTGTTGATGCTCCACTATGGCTCTTCAAATAGGTACAAAGGATATGAACCTCCCAAAAGCTCTTCACCAAGGATGATTAAGATGAGAGAACAAGAAACTTGGAGGGAAGAGATACAAATATTGATCTCAGTCAATCCTTGTTGACCATGTCAAGTGTCGAGTCAATGGTTGACCTTTGACATTGACCAAGCCACAAATCTTTCTTTTCTTCTAATTCTCAATCCACTCATTTTTGGATTGCGATCTTATAAGTTCTAATTAGCGAGGCCATGGGTAAGTATGATTCTACTAAATCGAATATGAAATGTATCCCTCCAAAAAATTCTCTCTATTGGCAAAGATTAATTATAATTAGTCCTACAAGGCTTCCACAAACCATAGCTGACACCTAGCCGTATGTCATAGTTACCTAAGCTAAATAGAATTCATTTAGAGAACCTAGTCAGTTTGAGATTGCAATGCAATTCAGTATTTCTCCAACACAATACTCTATGGTGTATTGTTGGGGTACGATTAACTTGTGTCAAATCCCTAATACAACATTTCTTCACATGCCTCTGTGGTCATGCTGGATATCCCGAGGGACATCTTTAAGTCACATCTTTTGATGTGATTGTATAGTATTCTCAAAGACAAACAACTCATACATAAGACAATTGTGATGTCTCATGTTTGAGGACTAATTTGCATTATCATAGCCTAGAATTACTTGTTTGACACTTGTGCGTAAAACTTCCATACAAGAATTCTTAGTTTGATCGCATTCAGTGAACTTCATCTTTATTGAGAACCTACATACTTGTCTTAATGTCTCTACACGAATGACTTGAGACTAGTCATCCTCCTAATTGAGCAGACATAGTATGTACTAGTCTTTGCGGATCACCATTGTCCAATTGGTGATCCTATGACCAAGAACATTTTAGGATACAATATACATATGACAGGAAGGTCTCGTGAATCTAACTTTTTTAGATTACTTTTCATTTATATTCTTATCCATGGACTTGTTACTTTGTAGTTGGTATATGTAAGTTCCTTAAAGTAACATTCACAAAGCAAAAAACTTTAATTTGGGGAGAATGTTCTGCTTCCAAAGTTTCTTGATAAGTTGAGAATTGAGATTTTGGGGGGGGGGGGGGGGGGGGGGTTTTTAAACACCTTTTAAATTAATAATAAAAAATTCCACTTAGGTTAGGTCCCCAATCAATTTATCACGAATCTAGAAGGATAGGAACAATAGTAATTTAATAAATGTTGAGGCCCAAAAATCCAAGGGGCTAAACCCAAATTAATCTTTGGCCCAACACAGGTGATTGAATGCAAAATAGGCTCAATCGGGACAAAAGAGAATTTGTAAAAGCCGCCAACACAAGCTATAAGCCACGAATCATGTCAAGCAAGCATGTGCAGAAGGGGCCAAAAGCATGCCGACATTACAAAATCATGCTCACATGCTCATTCGGTGTTACTTGGCCGAATTATAGCCTATCACGACATAATAAAACCCCAAGCACGAGCATAGATATCATGCAAGAAGAGTCACTATTCTAACACCAAACTATGCCACGAGCTTAAGTGGGCCTAAGCCACAAAAATTAATTGGGGCTTACTGAGAAGGTTGTGGTATGGAAGGAAACGAGCAATCACAGGGCCCATTGAGGGTTCAAGGGACGCAAGTTTTTAAGCCACTTGGGGGCTTTAAAACTCAAGCCCGTTCCTAGAACCCAAGCACATGGGTTAGCTGAGAGAGAAGAGAAAATTACCCCATAATACTTAGCCCAACCCACATCAATAGAGTGCCCCAAAGAAATTAGCAAAAGCCCATTCCAGCAGTTTGGCGAAAATCCACTAGAGATAATAGGCCAGCAACCCAACGTTACACACAAGCCCAGCCCAGCAGCTTGTAGAAAAGCTGTCATCGTGCTCCACCTTTGATGAGACTCCAAACAAGTCAGACAAAAAGCCAAGGCAAGAACCAGCAAAAATTCATAGGTAAAGGGCAAATACCCATTCGAACAAAAGGCTCCACCCATCTCCTTCCCCATTATAAGCTCTGTTTTGAAAACGTTGAGAAAAAGCAAAGTGGCGCCTCACCCTTGTGGGGAGGTCCAACTGCGTCAAAATCGTTGGAACCACAAAGGGTTCCTTACCCATATGCCTTGATAAGAGAATTTCACCAAAATAGGACTAAGTAGGGAACTGCCAAAAGAAAAGGAAGAGGAAGACCAGACAAAATTAGGGTTCTGGATGCCTATAAAAGAAGGCTTTTGCTACCTGGAAAAACCCAACCATTGATAGCCTAACCAAGCTTTGTCAAGCATCTGAGAATTCACTCAAGACACCCAATCCCCTCTTTCGTTCGTTCTTCTTCTCCCCCATAGGATAGAAGTCGTGCTAATATTCCCCTGTTCACTTTGGGCTCTTGTTCTCTATAAGGAACTCATGTCTCTCTCTCTCTCTCTCTCAAATTGCTAAACTTGTGAAAGCTTAGCTCTCATGCCACATGCTCCTCAGGCTAAGCCATTAGTGGATTTATCATGCTTATTTAGGTGTTAGTAAAGTGAACCTAAGAGTGTTCTTTTAAAATCTCATCAGATTTTCTAAAAACTCTTTTGGGAGCTTAGTTTCGAACTCAGGCATTTGGGGGATTTTGTTCGTCGTCTTCTTACAGCAGCCCAAGCTCATTCGTCAGGCTGCTGGAACAAAAAAAAACCCCTACAATCAACAATATCTTGCGACAATAAAGCACAGAAAAGAGGAGTAGTATTCCAAGTCTTATTCGCTATAAAGGTAGAAACCTTCAAATTTTTATCCATAGAAATTCTTTGACTCTCAAGTAAAAGGTTGAGGAGGAGAAAAGGAAAAAGCTAGGGTAATGCAATCCATGATTAGAGAAATCTACCGCTCATGAAAACCAAACTTGAGTAAACAAGCTTTGATATAGGACCAGACAAGCATATCATAATGCTACTGAAGCCCATTAAAAAAAAAAAAAAAAAAATGAGCACCCCACCATTGAATGATGAACTTTGCCAGTCTTCGCCTCCGACCGGGAGAACACAGGGTCAAGCCAAGCCCTTACCCGCCTGAATTGAATGCATATCTCCTTCGTCTGGTCGAGAAGGGAGAAAGCCCGGGGAACTGGACTGTTACTCTTCTATTACATTACATTACGGAGAAGTCCATTCTCGTCATGATCGATCCACGTCCTACCGTAGTGCCCGGGAACCAGGCTTGCTTGGCTTACTAACGCGAAGGAATTTTTCGTTGATTGCACGAGCTAGCCAGTCAATCCAGCCGTTTTCTTGCTTGGTGCGCTAGTGCGCCTGACTTATAAGTAGGCGTTTTCGGTTAGATTCCCGATCCACTCATCTTCAAACAGGGGTTCATCCAGAAATATGCA